TTTTTTTTTTTTTTTAGCGTTTATTTTTGAGACAGAGAGGGACAGAGCATGAACGGGGGAGGGTCAGAGAGAGGGAGACACAGAATCTGAAACAGGCTCTGGGCTCTGAGCTGTCAGCACAGGGCCCGACGCGGGGCTCGAACTCACAGACTGTGAGATCATGACCGGAGCTGAAGTCGGACGCTCAGCCGACTGAGCCACCCAGGCACCCCTGGAATTATTTTCTAATTCATGCGGATTTCAGCAAAGATACACTGTCTCATGGTTGCCATCTTTCTCAGGAGACTGCTAAAGACCAATTTTATTTCACTAAAAAAGGTCTCAACAGATTTGCCCTTGAAGAACGCCAAGGGTTTTTTTAGTATCCTATAAATAGAGCAGCTTCAATCTGGCAGGGGGATGGAGAATGATTATTTCCATATTTCTTCCTTTTTTTTCTTTAGTTTTTCAGTGAATATAATGATTTTGAGAACACACAGATTTCTTGAGAGGTTATGCTTCTCTGAAAATTTACAGTAGTTCTCATACATTCAGTATTGAAGTTCTAATTTTTTGTTTCGTTCTAATGGCTTTCACTTTTATTTGTTTTATATTTTTAAAAATATTAATATTTTCATTGCTTTTCAAAGTAAAGGTGTACCTTGCTACCCAAAATCTCATGATTTGAACTTGGTAGCCAAATAGATTTAGGTGTATTTTTTGAAATGGACCCATCTGGAAGCACAAGTTTCTTGCTATCCAAGTCTTGCTATTTACTATACCAAATGCAAGAGCTCAAGAGATTCAGATAATCAATATCCTAACTCAAGAGCCAAATCAATTTAGATAATGACTAATACCTGTATACTGCTAGAAGTATAAAATGTTTTTAAATGAACTGCTTCTGAATTCCACTTCCACTTTTATCCATGGAATGACTTTTTTTTTTTTTAATGTTTATTTATTTTTGAGACAGAGAGAGACAGAGCATGAACGGGGGAGGGTCAGAGAGAGAGGGAGACACATAATCCAAAGCAGGCTCCAGGCTCTGAGCTGTCAGCCCAGAGCCCGATGCGGGGCTTGAACTCACGGACCGCGAGATCATGACCTGAGCCGAAGTTGGCTGACCTGAGCCGAAGCTCAACCGACTGAGCCACCCAGGCGCCCCGGAGTGACTCTTTTTTATTAGGAATACTTACATTGAAAAGCCGAGTAATATGAGAATAAAGGATATGAGTAATATGTAATAATAAAGTAATATGAGAATAAAGAATGATAAAGGGCTGGAAGTGGTTAGGGAGAGAGGAGAGAGGATTTAGGGATGTATAATGAGAAGACCTAGATTTAAGTTCTGCTTCAATGGACAGGCTATGTGGTCTTGAACAAATGATTGTCTGTGTTAAATAGATGTTTCTTTTTTAGCAAAACAGAGGTGAGAATGGTACCTACGAGCTACCAGACAATATACATGAAAGTCCTCTGTTACTTAGGAAGTATCTCAGCATAAATGGTGGTGGTGTTACAGATGACAGAAAGACTACTTTCCTCTGAAAATACTTTTAATGTAGCATATGCTTTTTAAAAATATCTCTTCCTATTTTTTTAACTCAGGGACTAGAGGGTTAAAATGTTTTGTGTTAGTTTTACAACTTTGTGAGAACACTATCAGGTGTAACAGGAGAGGCTTTTGCTTCTGCTTAGTGTGATATTGATCTCGGAGAGCCATTAGAAATCACTCCTGGCCATCTCAGTCCAGTTTTACTTTGCTTGCCCTGGGAAGGTCTGAACCCATGATCAAGGGCCAAGAATTTCAAATGTATTCTTGGCATTGGCCCTATTCCTGAGTAGCATTCGGGAAACCTACTGTTATTCTTTGGTTTTCTGATTGCTAGGGAAGTGGTGATACTGCATAGTTATTTCATGTGGAAAATTCCACAGCTACAGATTTAAATATGACTTAATTAACACTAAGCTGTAAGAGGATTTATGGTGATTCTTAGATACGAAATGTCAAATTTTGAAATAATGTTCTAGTAGCATTTTGGACTGTAGAAAAATGGAAACTTTTTAATGTTTTTAGAAGTAATTTTCCTTGTGTTTGGTTAGTAACAATGGCTTTTCAAACCTACTTATGATCTTTTTACAAGAAGACGGAGTATGAATAAGGTTGCTGCCATTCGGAACCTTTAGTATTTCACTACATGCTGGAGGCACATGTTTGCTTTTCCTTCCAACTTCTTCATCTTGTTGGCGCTTTGAATTTTAAAGGGAGTACTTGAGCTAGTACATGCTATTTAAGAAGAGAATACTCTCTTACAAGTAGTTGATGGAAAAGCTCATTAAAATTCTATGTATGTGGCACTTCTACTTTCCCTGTACTCTCTCTCTGTGGAACACTCTTTGAAAAAATATTGTTAGCCTAGCAATAAGTCAGAACTGCGGTAATCACTGGGGTATGGATTTCAGACAACCTGCCTTCCTATCCTCTTATTTCATCTTGGCTCTCTTCACTTATGACACTTAAATCCAGCCCTGATGCCAAATAGAAGGTACATGAAACACTCTTCCCCTCAGCCTCTTGTCTGTGGGGAAAACAGAGCTCACTTCACCCCTGAACCTTTTATAATTTGTGGGATCACAGAGTGAGTCTTTATCATAGACTTTAAATTTAGTCTGATCACAGCCTTTAAATGTCATCAAGCAGTCCCCTCTACAACTCCTTAAACAAGTCACCATCTGTACGTGATTTATAGACATCTTGTCGTGGGGAGCCCCTACCTCACAGGGACGTGGGCTTCCTATCTAGAAAGGTATAACCATCATTGAGAAAGAAGGCAGGAAAAATGAACAGTTGTCAGTGTTAACAATAACCAGAGTCATGAACATCATATTAAAGACTTTGACTTTTATTTGCTCAGTAGGGAGAGCTGATTGAAGCAGAGGAATAATCTGAACAGAGCTGTACTTTTAGAAAGTGAACTTGGCAGTTGTATGGAAGACAAGATGTAGCAAATTGGATCCAGGGCAGGGAAACCACATAAAAGACCACTACAGAGCATGTAGTAAGGGATGCTGAGGCCATAGGTGTAGGTTAAAGAAGCACTAAACCTTTGGTTCTTTTTTGTTTGTTTATTTATTTTTGAGGGAGAGACAGACACAGAGTGTGAGCAGAGGAGGGGCAGAGAGAGAAGGAGACACAGAACCAGAAGCAGGCTCCAGGCTCTGAGCTGTCAGCACAGAGCCTGATGTGGGGCTCAAACTCACAAGCTATGAGATCATGACCTTAGCCGAAGTTGGACGCCCAACTGACTGAGCCACCCAGGTGCTCCTGAACCCTTGGTTCTTAACTCTGACAGTTCATAATGGTCACCTCAGCAGCTTATGGATGCCTGGGACCCCATGCCCTAGGATTCTGATGCAGTTCGGTCAGGGTCATTTTTTTGACCATTTGATTCTTAAATCCTGCAGAGGTGATTCTGCTATGCTGACAGAATTGATATGTGTTGTAATAATAGCAGTGCATAATTACTGAGCCCTTATGTTGTGCTAGGCTCTTTACATATAGGCTCTTTACATACTCACTAAATCCCCTATGAGTTACATGCTGCTTTATGCCCAATTCACATATGAGGGAAGTAAGCACGGAAAAGTGAAGTCGGTGGCCCCAGATCACACGAGTCAGTAGGAAAGCCCAGGGTCAGAACCCAGGCCCGCTGACTCCAAAGCTCACTGAAAATAGGATTTTAAAACCCCCAAACTTGGTATATTGTCTTATGAAAATAGCATGAAATTAGCTAATTTTTGTTAAAAGATACAATGGTATTTTTAAATTTACAAAATGTGAAAGTTACACATAGGATTTTGATAGAAGGTATATGATTAAAATGTTAAATTACAGGAAAAAATTATTCATTTTAAAGTGTTTTTTTTTTTTTTTTTTCCTGCTTCCTGAGCCAGCCCAGCATGCTTTTCCTGGCTTGTTTTCTTTCTACTGCTACCAAAGGAAAACAGAAAGATGATGTCATTTGATATTTTTCCCCCTGATGTGTCAATAAAAGAATAAAATAAAATTTATCTTTAGTTCAGGAATTCCTTTACCGACACACAAAAAACCCTAGTTTTCAGTCATGCCTACGATGTCTTTTAAGAACAGCAACATTTTAAATGGCTTAAAGAAAAAGGCGAAAAGTGAAAATCATCCATACTGTTACCATCCAAAGGCGATAATATTAATATCCTACCAGTGGTCTTCTTTGGTACTAGTTTTCAGTCTTTATTTCATTGGAGATAAAAACTAGACATATTCCTGTGGCTTACAATGCTCCTCTAAGCTTCGGATTATCCACTGACAGGAAAAATTCAACAAAGTTTGAGCAGTTCTGATTCTGTCCGTTAAGTCCCCATTTGTGTGACAACTTTTATTTATGGAGACTTCCCTGGTGAGTTACAGGCCTGTGGCTAGCATTCCTCATGGCCGTTTACACTGCACGTGGTACCCAGATGTTTGGGGAACTTGTTGAAGAGAAGGATGGTCACTAACAGAAGCAACAACATGCTAACACACTAACACAGCACATCAGCGATTTTAATTTTAATTTTAAGAACTTTAAGGTTTAATTTAAGATTTTAATTTTAAGAACTTTGTGTTTTTATGAATGTCTTTCAGCAAACTTTTGTTGAATTTCTATCTTGTGTAGGATACTTGACTGAAATTGTTCCTGCTGAGAGCATCAGTGACTTCCTTTTATTAAATCCAGTATCACTTTTCAGTCTACATTTTACTTTGTCTCTCTGCTTCATTTTATCCTTTTTTTTTTTTTCAACGTTTATTTATTTTTTGGGGGACAGAGAGAGACAGAGCATGAACGGGTGGGCAGAGAAGAGAGGGAGCACACAGAATCGCATGGGGGTCCATGGCTCTCGGTCACAGCCTGACGCTGGTAGACTCACGGACCTGCGAGGATCGTGACCTGGCTGAAGCGACGCTCTGACTGCGCCGACGAGCACCTGGCCCTATTTATCTCTCTTGATTTCCTCAAAGATTAACTCTTCCCTTGGCCTCCAGATATTGCTTTCTGGTCTTCTCCTCTTCTGCTCTCTTCTCACGCCTCGATTTTTTTTATAAGCTTTTCATGATCATTCCTCTGTGAAGCTATTGAGTCCGTCAAGATTTACATCACTTGTCGGCTTACTTACTCTATGTTTTTTCCTCAATACTCTGCATGGTCTAAGTGGTTCATCTTTTATGTGATGATGACCCCCAATAGTACATCCCCTTGGCTTAGATCTCTTCTCCTCCACCATGTCAGATCTTCAAATACCTCGTCTTTTGAAGGCTCCAGCATAAAATATTCTGAGTGCTGTGCTCATGTGGTCTCGTTGAGTTAAGATGCCTGACTATTGGTTTTGGCTCAGGTCATGATCTCACATTGTCTTCATGAGTCTGGGGTTCTTGCTGTCAGGGCTCTCCAGTGCTGAGAGTTCGAGCCTGAGCCTGCTTCGGATTCTGTGTCTCCCCTTCTCTCTCTCTGCCCTTCCCCACCTCAAAAATAAATTAACATTAAAAAAAATTTTTTTTTAATAAATAAAAAAATATTTTCAGGGGTGCCTGTGTGGCGCAGTTGGTTAAGTGTCCAACTCTTGATTTCATCTTAAGTCGTGATCTCCTGGTTGGTGAGATCCAGTCCTACATCTGGCTGTGTGTGGACAGTGTGGTGCCTGCTTGGGATTCTCTCTTTCCCTCTGTATTTCTGCCCCATCCCTCCCTCTCTCTCTCTCAAAATAAGTAAATAAACTTTAGAAAATATTAAAAAAATAAAAATATTTTCAGACATCAAAATATAGCCATAATATTATAATTACATTGAAATAAAACATCATCATCATCAAGAATTCAACCAGTATTTATATTTTCCCAATTATCTCATAAGAGTATCCTTTTTAAATGTTTATTTATTTTTGAGAAAGAGAGACAGAGTATCAGCAGGGGAGGGGCAGAAAGACACACACACACACAGATTCTGAAGCAGGCTCCAGGCTCTGAGCTGTCAGCACAGAGCCCGATGTGGGGCTCGAACTCACAAGCCGTGTTAGATCATGACCTGAGCTGAAGTCAGACGGTCAACGGACTGAGCCCCCCAGGTGCCCCTTTTAAGGTATTTTTAACTGCTAGTTTGGTTACTTTTTATACTTGAGGCATTAAAATAATTACTCAAATTATTTATCCTATAATAATAGCTCATATTAGAAATAATAATAACAAGTTTGACTTTAATGTTTTTTTTCCTTTTCTACTTGAACATTTTAAATATATTAAGAATGCTTAGATTATATCAATTTTTCTATCAGTCTATATATATATTGATCCTTTTTTTGTGGTAAATTGGTGTTAAGAAACTTGTGGGACAAGTCTGACATTTTTTCATTTTAAGATTTGTTGCTTCTTTCATCATACTTATAGAAATTTTGTTTATCCTTGCAATACAAGAACTGTACATACATCTGTATTTGTTTATTCATTAGTATTTACTTCCTGATACATGGTAAGTATTTTGACATAAAGATTAGTTTTGATTTTCATTTTTTCAGAAAAATATTTTATGATCTATTTGAATATTTTTCTGTTTTTCTCCTGTTCAGGAATACCTGTTATTTTTGCAAGTCCACTGTTGATTTGGCATATATATTTTTTTTCTCAAATGCTTTTAAAAAATTTCATTATTGAAGTATAATTGACATACACTGTTATATTAGTTTTAGATATACAGGATATTAATTCAGCAGTTCTTTACATTACTCTACACTCACCATGATAAGAGTGGTTACCATCTGTCACCATTACAGCATTATTAACTATATTCCCTGTGCTGAACTTTTCATCTCCAAAGCACATTTTATCTTCAGTTGCAGTGTTTTAAAAAAATGTTTATTTATTTTGAGAGAGAGAGCACATGAGTGGAAGAAGGGCAAAGAGAGAGGGAGAGAGAGAATCCCAGGCAGGCTCCATGCTGTCAGCATAGAGCCCAGTGTGGGGCTCGATCTTAGAAACTGTGAGATTATGACCTGAGCCAAAGTCAGGAGTCTGATGCCTAACTGATTGAGACACCCAGGTGCCCCTCAAGTTGCAATTTTTAACTGATCTAATTCTCCTGGTCTAGAATGAGCAGTGACCAGGTGAATTTCTCTTTACATGGTTATGAGGCCAATATAGTCCCCCCCCCCCCAAATGTCAGGTTAGTTAGCCTATTTTGGACACCTAGACCCACACTTTAAGTAGATAACGCTAAGGTCCCTTTCAGTTTTCTGATTTTGTGATACAGAATATATGGAAATGTCCCAGTTTCCTTGGAGGAAAGAAGAAAGTCAAGAAACAGCAAACATATTTTTATATATAAAAGAATATCTGGGTGGAGAAACTCTAAAATGTTGCTAGTGGTTATAGATGGATGGTGGAACTTTGCTGCATGTCCTCTGTTCCCCAGATCTACTCTGTATCCTGTGCTGGACCGTGAGGAACACAGTAGACTATATCCACAGGCTTACTCTCCTACCATCTGGTTCTGGTTGGTTTCAACCAATGGAGAACCCCAGGAAACTAGAAAGAGAGAGAGAGGAGAGTGGTATTGAGATGTTAATTCCCCAGTCACTTCCATAGTTGCCTTATGCTGGTCCATTCCCTCCACTGAAGGTCACAGCTCCTCTCCTGGAGGGCTTGTCCATTTGACTCCTGGGTTCTGGTAACCACTACCTGCCTCCCTTTGCCCTTTGAGGCCTGTGGTGGTAACAGCCCTACTCTTTTCACTCTTCAGTACGAGCCCTACTCCTAGCCCTTACTCTTAGGCCTCCAAAGACAGTAGTGATCATTGACCAAATAGTCTGCTGTCAACATTAGGATCTAGGTGCTTGTTTAAGAAATGCTGGTTGCTGTCAGTTACTTCTTGGCTCAATGAATGTGCACTTACATTTTGTTTTTAGATCCAAGAGTTGAAGACTGGCTCCTCATGTCCTCACCTCTGCCACAAACCATCATCCTGGGATTCTATGTCTATTTTGTCACTTCTCTAGGACCAAAGCTCATGGAGAATCGAAAACCCTTTGAACTCAAGAAAGCGATGATAACGTACAATTTTTCCATAGTGCTGTTTTCTATGTATATGTGTTATGAGGCAAGTGTCTTCAGTATTCCTAATGGGAGAATTTTTCCTGAGTCTTCCTGTTTTTCTGTCATTATATGTCTTGTTATAATTATAGTGACGACTCTTTGAGATTTAAGGAATTTTAGAAATTTAGCTCACTAGAGCAGGTATTTGCCAAAAAAAATTGTTATGTATAGACTGGGTATAGAGGATCTCAATATACTCTACCTCACAAGTAGTGAGAAAAATTAACATTAAGTTTGGGGACTTGCACATACTTAGTCTTAATAGATGATTGAATGAATCCATACGTGTTAGTTTTCAGGAAACTCATACATGGAGAAATTAAGTAACTTACTCAAAGTAGCATAGCTACTGTAGTATTAGTGGAGGACCAATATTTGAATCCAGGTCTGTCTGACATCAGGAGCTCATCCTGACTCTGTAATGAGTTACCATCACCATGGTAGGAAGCTCTGATGAGCTGTAAGATGGTAGACTGTTTAGGTTTGATTTAGATGGGCCTTGTAGGGACAGGGAATTTAGACTCCTACAAAGCAGTACCTGAGGGAGTCTGTCCCTTAATTGTTACTTTGTTAATAAGAGAGATGAGGATCTCCCAGGACCCAAGAGTAGACTCATGGTTTCTCTCTCACCCACTCTGCTATTAACAACCTTCACCCAGCCTCACTTACCTGCTTTTCTTTGATTTCCTTGCTTCTTTTCTAATACTGGCGGTCTCCCTCATCCTCTACTCCTTAGTTACTTCTTTGCAGCATAGCCTATGCTTCCACAGAACTGGAACTCTCTAGGGCCCACCATGACCCCTCTGGCCCCTCTTGACACCATGACCTCTGCACATGCATCCCTCCTACCTGATTCCTGCTGTGAATCCACCTGATTGAGTCACCTTAAATCTGCTGGAGCCTCATTACCGGCCTCCCTGCAGTCTGGACTTACCTTGCTACCTTCTATTTCTTCTACTTTATTACCAAAATTAACTACAAGCTACCTTACTGTCCCTTCCGGATCATGAATAACTGAAAGGGAAAGAGTAATAGAGGTGGTCTAACCAGGTTATGAGAGATAGGAAATAACCTGTAGAGCCTATAAGAGAGTGACCTAGTAGCCAGGAGACCAGGGACCAGTTAGTACCAGTTATTCTACTAACCAGCTGCCTCATTTTGAGCAAGTTACTTAACCTCTCCGGGCCTTAGTTCTCCTGTTTTATCGAGTCAGGATTAAACCAGATTGTTTCTCAGGTCCCTTTATGCTCTGTGTCTGATTGTGCCATTCAATGTGATATCCCCAAATCCATTTCTCAGGAAGTAATTAAATTATAGCCAGTAAGTTTGGTTCCCTGTTTTAGCAATTGCAATGTAAAAGAAGTTTTGAAAATATCTGAATTTGGCAGTTTCTATCTCCCATTAATCACTCATACTAGAGTTACTTATGTGCCAATTTTGGGGTTTATTACCTGCCAAATGAACATTATCACTCGTTCTTCTTAATTGCCTGAAATATAGACATATATGTCAGAAGTTTTGTAGACTGTTAAAATGTTCTTAATCTTAATATCAGGAAGGCGTTAGGCTTCACTCTGTCTTTAAACAAAGACTTTTGACAGCTGGTCAGGATGTCATCTCCAGAACTCCGAACACATGGTTTACTGGGTGTAGCACAATTGCATTAGGTCTACAGAGGAAACACCTCCACTAGGGATGTTAGGAAAAATATGAACAAGGTGAAAGGGAAGTACACCAGACTAAAGGATCCCACGTGTCTTATCGTGTAGTGATGGTTTTGAATGTGCTAATTACTTGGCACCAGTCAGACATTAATAGAGAGACACTGGTGAAGACCACCCAGGAGCCCATGTCACAGGGTTTCTCTTGTCCAGCTCAGTGTTTATTTGGAGTAGGATATGGTGGAGAGCCAGCATCCCCATTAAGTAAGTGGACTTTCAGTTTTACTTGCATCAGTTAGAAGACAGTCTGAATGGAAGAGAATATGACACTCACTGACAGATCAGGATTTTGTACAACAAAATTAGCTGTTTTTCCACCACATTCCATTGTTCCCTTGAGGAAAAACTTATTGACTTGTTTTTGTAAGTTACTTTTCTCACTCTTAAAATATGTCTTATACTTTTGTGAATCTTAAGATAATCTTTTTTTAAGATTTCATAATTGACCAAGTTAAGAGTGAGATTAAATATCTTATGAATTAAGCTTGGACCAGAAAAGGATGGTCTGATTTTGAACACCACAATCTAAACAGTTGTTTTAGCTCCTTTGTTCTTTTTGTTTTTCACCATTAAAATATCATTCTGCTAATGCCTCATAAACTTTTGCCTTTAAAAATTAATTTATGATAAAGTTTTCATTTTAGCTTTAATAGTAACTAAAAGTAGAAATTTAAAATGTGCATTAATGGCAGAAAATGATGTAACCATTATACTGAAAAAGAAGGCATTTATTATACTGAAGAAGAAGATGCTGGCACTTGAGAGAATAGGATGTCAGAGATGAGCTGATCGTATTGTGAGGATACTAAGTTAAGCCAACCATTTATATGTGCATTAATTTAAAATTAGAGCCCTTGGATGAGTACTGGGTGTTGTATGGAAACCAATTTGACAATAAATTTCATATATTAAAAAAAACATACTAGAAAATAAAATAAAATAAAATTAGAGCCCTTAGCTTTTCATTTTCAGATACTGTTTCATTTTTTAAAATTTTATTAAAGTTTTTATTTGAATCAGATAGTGTTTTAAAAGAACTTCCCACCATCATACTAAAAGAATGTCCATATAAATCTTTGAATTGAGGCTCAGATAACAACAATAGGCTTTTTCTTCCCACCACTAGTCTATGATTCCTTAGTGGGTGTGCTGGAATTAAGGCATGCCAAATTGCACTCTTACTGATAACATTTTCCTCTCTTACTTGTTATGTGAATCCAAAGATGAACTGATCTCTGAGTCTTGTGTTTCATCAATCTTGATTTTAAGACCCACAGAGTACCCCTTCACATTATACCCACTAGTGAAGGACAGGAAAGTGCAGTTATGGCAACCCTCTTATGAGAACCGTGAGGAATCTTGGTTTGCCTATGTATTTTATTGACTAATTGAGAAGACTGGAAATCACCAGAAAGGACTGTTTTCAGACCCACTTATTCCCTTCAGAGTACACAAATATACTAATGGGCATATATAGATGTACACACATGTACATATACTGACATATACCTACCAGTATTTGCTGTTGAGGCAAAACACTCCCAATGTTTTATTCTCCACCATATCAGAATAATCATCCTAAGGAATGGACACTTGAATATGAACACAGTTGATAGAAATAATAGATGACTGTACAATTTTGAAAATTGTTGTTGCTTTGACTATCAATTGAGTTGCTAGTTCTAACTGTTCTAGCCTGGCTTTCCCACTGACCTGAATGCTGGCTCAGCTGAGAATGTGGTGAGGAGGCACAATCAAAACTACCTTTATTATAGCTGTTGAGCAAATGCTTCCTTCTTTAATATGCATGTGCTCTCTTACAGTTTGTGATGTCTGGCTGGGGTACAGGTTATTCATTTCGATGTGAAATTGTTGACTACTCACAGTCACCTTTAGCACTGAGGGTAAGTTTCTCTTTGGAATATCTTGTAACTCAAATTAAATGTTAAAACTTCTGAGATTCTATTTTTTAACACTTAATGTGAACTCAGAAGAAGTAAATGACTCATCTATCAGATTATATGTATTGAGAGAAAACTAAAAGGTATCAGAAAGAATCAAATGAAATCAGGTGTGTAGTTTTCTGTTTAATGAAAATTGGTACTTTTATTTTTTAACTTCCTGGACTTAAAAACAAATTCATATCTGGTTCCTCAAAAAAAGTAAAAATATAATTCCCATATGATCTGGCAATTCCATTTCTGGGTGTATACCTAAAAGAATTGAACACAGGGACTCAGGTATCTGTACTCCCCTGTTCATAGCAGCATTATTAACATGTCCACGGACAGATGAATGGACAAAGAAAACATGGCATATACATACAATGGAATATTATTCAGCCTTAGCAAAGATGGAAATTCTGACACATGCTATAACATGGATGAGCCTTGAGGACATTATGCTAAGTGAAATAATCAAGGCACGAAAGGATAAATACCGTATGATTCTATTACATGTGGTGCCTAGAGTAGTCCAATTCAGAGACAGAAAGTAAAATGGTAGTTTTCTGGACCCATGGGTGGGAGGGGAGATCTTACTTATTAACAGGTACAGAGTCTCAGTTTTGCAAGATGAAAAGAATTCTCTGGATGGATGGTGGTATTGGTTGAGCAACAAAGTGAATGTGCTAACTGCCACCAAGCTGAACACTTAAAAATGGTTAAGATGGTAAATTTGGTTATGTGTATTTTGCCAAATTAAAAAAATAAAATTTTCCTCTGTATAAAAATAAGATAAATTTGTATCTTTGTGTGTTTCTGCAGATGGTACGCACCTGTTGGCTTTATTACTTCTCCAAATTTATTGAGCTATTAGATACTGTGAGTATGTGGTCACCACATTTGGTAAATGTTTGATGTCTCAATGGAAGCAATAAACTGCTAGAGTTCAGTTGTTGTCTGATAACTTGGGTTATCTCTGTACTTCAGGCAGAACTCCTATTATCTCTTACCTTTTATTATCAGTAATTTTAGAGAATAGATAGGATAAGCTTTTTTTTTTTTTCTGGTCTTTTGCAAACTCCAAAAGGTTTTTTTATGTATCTACTGCCTGATTAGGATAAGCACGTAACTGTCATATACATTGCAAAACTGTGTATCTTTATGGAGATGGATGACAGGTGTTTTGGGAAGCAAGCTCAGGAATCAAAGAGCAGAAAACATTCTACCTTGGGTTCTGCCAGTGTAAAGCAAAGCACTCTGTCATCCATATTCCTTTAAGAGGATAAATGCTTCATAATTCTTAAACATAAATTAGGATATCATCCCTGGGGTATCAGTAATTTTGGTAATATCAAAACTATCTCCAGCTGCTGTTCTGAAGTTCATGCTTACTAGGTGATCTCTCTTCCCACATAAGATCTTTGAAGATCAGCTCTGAATTTGGATGACTGGGCTCTGGGAGAAGCAAGTGCCATGGAGTAGGGTACAAGATGAGAGGAGAATGCTGTGTACTTCTGTTTTCAGAGTAGCTTAGGAAAGCTGGATATTTATCATATCTTTGGGATATGTGGGTCTTAGTTATCTGGAACCATTTCTGTCTGTCTAAGACAGACAAGTGTGTTCTATCTTCAGAGTACATACAAATATGTTTCTTGTAGCAAATCTCAACATGCTTCACCTTCTCACCTGAACAATCACATAATGTTGGAATTGGAAAGGACTTTAGTGAGCATAGCATACAGTAGTTCTCAAACTTGGGCATGCATTAGAATTGCCTAGAGGGCTTGTTAAAAACACAGATGCCTGCACCCCACCCCTAGAGTTTCTGATTTGCTAGGTCCTATGTTGGCCTCAAGAATTGCATTTCTTTTAAGTACTCAGGTGATGTTATTGCTGTTGGCCTAGGGTCCACACTTTGAGACCTCTACTGTAGTTCAGTGGTTCTCAGCCTTCATGAGGCTGAGGCAAGAGGATTAACTGCATTAGAAAACAACAACAACAACAACAACAACAACAACAACAACAACAACAACAACAACAAAAACCTGGGTCCCACCTCCAGAGATTTGGTGCCAGATGGTCTATAGTTAGAAACCAGGCATGGTGTTTTTGAAAAGCTTCTTGGACATTGGCATATACAGCCAGGGTTGAGAACCACTAATCTGGTTCAGAGCCCTCAATCTGAAAGTAAATTGAAGCCAGGAAGGTAAGTAATTTACCCAGAGGAATGCTGCTACTGTCTGGGGTCAGGGTCCCAGATAGCTGGTTTGGGGCTTTTCCGTTGCACCATGCTGCCTTCTTCCATGTGCATAATAAGCAAATGCTTCTCGGCCTCATTTTTTCTGCTTTGCATGTTCTCAGTTCCATGTTCCACAAAAAAACTGTTGGTGCCTCTGTGTTCTTCCCTGAACCACATTTTTCAAATACTACTATGGATACTTTTTTTGTGCTGCTCTGTTTAGTCTGTATTTAGAAGTCTGACTCAATACTGGTATTCTGAATTTTCAGTATTTTTTGAACATTTAATTCTGCTCTCGAATTTAAATCTCCCCCTGCTTTTGCCTGCCTTTTCTCCTCTTTGTTTGTAGAGTTTCTGCAAACCGCGGGTGCATTCAATCTGGATGGTGCCTTTGCTGCTCTTCTCATTTTTCCTAGGCTACTTTTTTTTTTCTCCATCCTGTTTCTATAAAAACCCTCAAGTTTTTCCCTTTTCATCTTTATCTACTAATAATATGCTAACTTTTGATTTGTTGCAAGTCCTCTTTCAGTTTGCTTAATCCCTTATCTAAATTAGTAGGATGTGTCTTAAGAATTGAGACTCTCTGCTTTCCCATGTACTTCAAAATCCACGTGGATGTTTTCCTGCCAATAGTAATTCTTTCAAAATTCTTTGGCCATGTTCTTCACTTTCCATTTTTGATGTTAAAATCTGCATTCAATTTCTTTAACACATTTTTATTGATTCTCCCATGACTAGGCATCATACCAAAGTTCCTTCATACTAATGAGCTTTTGAGCTACCCCTTGGAGAATCAGCTGCTTCTGTGAGCATTCTCTAAGGCAGCCCTTTCAGTGCAAGTGATGATGGGAAATAGTTTGTACTTTGCCAATATTTTTGTAACAGTAGATATATCATTGCATGATTTTATATGAACTTGATTTTTTTAAAATTATTTCAGATCTTTTTTGTTCTGCGTAAGAAAAATAGCCAAGTGACTTTCCTGCATGTCTTCCATCATACCATCATGCCATGGACCTGGTGGTTTGGAGTCAAATTTGCTGCAGGTAGCCAAGGGAGATTCGGGATCATGTGTAATGAGCGATTACATTTTTGTATATTGTAAACACAAATTCTGTCCTGAAATGTGATTTAGAAGAAACTCAAAACATCAAAGAATTAATTTGGTTAAACTTCTGACTTTCATTATTACCTGAAACATAAACTTTTAACCTAGATCCCTCCTCCACCCTCCCCTCTTTAGATACACATGACTTTTAGGTATAGTCTTCTACTCATATCCTTTAGTTGTTTTGTTTGGGTTTTACTCTTTCCCCAGATAGTTCTTTTAAATGTCATTAACTAAATAAAAACAAAACAAAAAAAATGGTACAAGCTTTAATTTCATAGATATATAGATAAATACTCCTAATTGTTTCCAGGAAGTTAGAATGTTGATCTCAAGTTCTAGTCTTTTTTGCATTCACATTTCATCCCCTACCAATTCTGTAAAGATGTGTCAAATTGTGGTTGTCTAAACTTTGTTAAACATCCCACCATATTAAAGGATATTATTTTAATATTTTTTGAAGTTAAAAGTACTTTAAAACAAAAGCTTGGCAAACAGATTCTTGTTCGTTTGGTTTTCATTTTATGCTTCTGAACATCTAGAATCGGAAAAAACAGATTAAGTAATTTCACCCTCTCCTAAAGTATTAAATAAATGATAACCCCAAGGATATACACGTATTAGCAAAAATTGGTTGGGAGATTTATTTACGTGAGTTTATTAAATTTAAGAAGTCTTCGAGTTAGATAATACTTTAAAATTTCTGCAAATAGCTCACCTCTATTATGCATTCTGACTTTGTATGACTAAAAAGAGAAACCACAATTGAGGAACTCTTCTTTGAGTTTTAGAGTCTGTAGGCATAGGGAAAAATCTGCATACCTTGTAACAGGAGAGGGTATGAATAAGCTAGTGGCATGAAAGAGATACCAGAACCTAGAGAAGCCAGAAGGCTGTCTCCACTATGGCCTTTGGGCATCAGATTTTCCAATATGTGAAGTATTTCCTTGCCCCAAACTGGCATTTATGTGTCACAGATTTTTAAAAAGTGAAAGTCACTGTTTTTCCTTATAATGTATGTAAAAATGTAACTCATTATAATAAGATAGTCTCTTCTGTGTCCATTTCATAAATCAAGGATAGCTATATTACTTAGTCTCCATTATTATACTTAACTTCATATGTTTTTGTTTTCTCTCACATGCATATCAGTTCTTTGAATAGGATTTTCATTGACATTTCATTTGTGTTGGCCAAAAATTAAAAAATAGCATCCATTAATAAAATGGTTATGAATTCTTGTGTATATATAATTGCGAAATTCAAATGATATCAAGGGACATTTAGCTCATCTTCTCTTTTCAGCAGTTTGACTCCAAAATTATCAGAAATAGGTATTTATTTTATTTTAAAGTATGCTAGCAAAAGTTCTTTCACACCCTTATAATTTATTTATGCAGATTTCTTCTCTGAGACTAGAATGTTACATCACAACACTGAAAAATAAATATAAATTTAAAAAAGATTGGGAGGAAGTACCTCAAAATACAGTGATTTAGAAATAGTGCACAAAAAGTGGTTTCCCTCTCCACCTTTATCCTTCTCTGTTTTTTCTAAATTGAATATCTATTGGTTCTATAATGGAGAAAATGGACTTTATTTGAAGAACAGAGTTGAGCAGTTTTTTTCCTAGATTATCTAGAGTGATTTTTTTTGAATTTTTAAAAAAATTTATTTAAATCCAAGTTAGTTAACATATAGTGTAATACTGATTTCAGGAGTAGAACTGAGCGATTCATCACCTACATAGAACACCCAGGCTCATCCCAACAAGTGTCCTCCTTAATTTCCATCACCCATTTATCCTATCTCCCCACTCAGCACCCGTCCAGCAATCCTCAGTTTGTTCTCTGTATTTAAGAGTCTCTTATGGTTTGCCTCCCTCTCTCTTTTTATCTTATTTTTCCTTCCCTTCTCTTATGTTCATCTGTTTTGTTTCTTAAATTCCACATATGAGTGAAATCATATGATATTTATCTCTCTCTGACTAACTTATTTCGCTTTAGGATAATACATTCTAGTTCCATCTATGTTGTTAAAAGTGGCAAGATTTCATTCTTTTTGATTGCCAAATAATATTTTGGTGTGTTTATACACACACACACACACACACACACACACACACACACACACCACATCTTTACCCATTCATTAGTTGGTGGATATTTGGGCTCTTTCCATAATTGGGCTGTTGTTGATAGTGCTGCTATAAACATTGGGGTGCATGTGCCCCTTCGAATTAGCATTTTTTTATCCTTTGGATAAATACCTCTAGTAGTACAATTGCTGGGTTATAGGGTAGTTTTATATTTAATTTTTTGAGCAACCTCCATACTGTTTTTCAGAGTGGCTGCACCAGTTTGCATTCCCACCAGCAGTGTAAGTGTTCCCCTTTTTCCACATCCTTGCCAACATCTGTTGTTTCCTGAGTTGTTAATTTTAGCCATGCTGACAGGTGTCAGGTGGTATCTCATTGTGGTTTTGATTTGTATTTCCCTGATGATGAGTGATGTGGAACATCTTTGCGCATGTCTGTTAGCCATCTGGATATCTTCTTTCAAAAAGTGTGTGTTCGTGTCTTTTGCACATTTCTTCACTGGATTATTTGAGTTTGATAAATTCTTTATAGATTTTGGATACTAACCCTTTATCTGATATGTCATTTGCAAATATCTTCTCCCATTCTGTCTGTTGCCTTTTACTTTTGTTGATTGTTTCCTTCGCTGTACAGAAGCTTTTTATCTTGATGAGGTCCCAATAGTTGATTTTTGCTTTTGTTTCCCTTGCCTCTGGAGACATGTCTAGTAAGAAGTTGCTGCAGCCAAGGTCAAAGAGGTTGTTTTCTCCTCTGGGATTTTGATGGTTTTGTGTCTTACATTTAGGTCTTTTATCCATTTTGAGTTTATTTTTGTGTATGGTGTAAGAAAAGGGTTTCAGATTCATTCTTCTGCATGTCGCCGTCCAGTTTTCCCACTACCATTTGCTGAAGAGACTGTCTTTTTTTCCATTGGATATTCTTACCTGCATTGTCAAAGATTAGTCAGCCATACATTTGTAGGTCCATTTCTGGCTTCTCTGTTCTGTTCCTTTGATCTGTGTTTCTGTTTTTGTGCCATTACCTACCATCTTGATGATTACAGCTTTGTAATATAGCTTGAAGTCCAGAATTACGATGCCTCCAGCTTTAGTTTTCTTTTTTTTAGTATTACTTTGGCTATTTGGGACCTTTTCTTGTTCCATCCAAATTTTGGAATTGTTTGTTCTAGCTCTGTGAAGAATGTTGGGTTTTTTTTTGATAGGGATGGCATTGACTACGTAGATTGCTTTGAGTAGTATTGACATTTTAACAATATTTGTTCTTCCAATCCATGAGTGTGGAATGTTTTTCAGTTCTTTGTGTCTTCTACAATTTCTTTCATAAGCTTTCTGTAGTTTTCAACGTATAGATCTTTTACCTCTTTAGTTAAGTTTATTTCTAGTTATTTTATGGTTTTGGTGCTATTGTAATTGAGATCGATTCCTTGATTTCTCCTTCTGCTACATTATTTGTGTATAGAAATGTCATAGATTTCTGTACATTGGTCTTATATCCTGCTACTTTGCTGAATTCGTATATTAGTTCTAGCAGTTTTTTGGGTGAGCCCTTTTCTAAAGTGTATCTTTGAAGGGGAGCCTGGGTGGCTAAGTCCGTTAAGTGTCCGACTTCGGCTCAAGTCATGATCTCACATTTCATGAGTTCAAGCCCTGCATCGGGCTCTGTGCTGACAGCTCAGAGCCTAGAGCCTGCTTCGGATTCTGTGTCTCCCCCTCTCTCTGCCCCTCCCCTGCTTGTGCTCTCTCTCTGTCTCTCAAAAAAATGAATCAATGTCGGGGCGCCTGGGTGGCGCAGTCGGTTAAGCGTCCGACTTCAGCCAGGTCACGATCTCGCGGTCCGTGAGTTCGAGCCCCGCGTCAGGCTCTGGGCTGATGGCTCAGAGCCTGGAGCCTGTTTCCGATTCTGAGTCTCCTTCTCTCTCTGCCCCTCTCCCGTTCATGCTCTGTCTCTCTCTGTCCCAAAAATAAATAAACGTTGAAAAAAAAACTTTAAAAAAAAAAATGAATCAATGTTAAAAAAATAAATAACAAATCACAGATTTTTTTAAAAAGTGTATCTTTGATCCATTGATAGGCTTCCATTTCTAAACAAGTATTGCTTTTGATAATGAAATTTTAAAAAAGAAATTCATGTTTTTCAATGTTATCCTCTTTATGGACATTGAACACTTTGTAGTGGGTTCGTTGTCCACACCTTAATCCCCCTTCTGCTTTACAAAATGCAAATACTTTCTTCTCTCTTATACGTTCCCTAAGTTGGCATTTCCATTCAGTCTTGCATGTGGAATTTAGTAAACACTTGTACACCTATATCTACTTAGTGACAAGTACAGTGATAAGAGCTGAGATACTTCCAGAAATGTGTTTTGGCATTGACTTTCATTCCTAGAATGAAACTGTTCAGTTTAAACTGTTCTTTCAAAAACTTGAGCACAGCTGATCTCTATCTAGTATTTAATTTCCTGTTTGCCTGTTGTACACTTCTCTGGCATAACAGCAATCCAACTTTTCTTTGGAATATGATAAAACGTTTCTCTGGCAGGTTTTTATATTCATTATGCACATATTCCCTTCCAGAGATATGGAGAGCTGTGATAATTACCCAGGTGATTCCTTTATTTTTCTAATCCAAAGGAATAAAATGTGATGGCACTAATTGTAATTCATTCTGAGATGTTAGCTTTTCAAAACTATTGTTGTAAAGAAGAAAGCAAGCTTAGAAAATACTTTATTAGGAAAGCCTTCCAAGAAAATAAGTTAATTTTGATGGCTGATTTTGATGAGTAACCCTTACTAAACACTGTTAATTACGTTAGTGCTTTATTAAATTCCTGTCCATGGGATCCTCATTTTAGGACATTTAAATGGTGAAAGATTCTGAATGGAAAATAGTCTTCTAACAAAAAATGGGAGAGGTGTCTTAATGAGAAAGGCTCTGATGTAGATTGTTAATCAAAGGTGAAATAGGTTTCCTGTGTGTTTGTATAATCAGGAGATACAAATGGAATTGAGAAGTATTTGGCATATGCCTGTTAAGCAGCTTGACTCCTAACCTATCAGAAATAGACAACTATTATATTTTTAAATCACCTCAGAAAAGGTGTTTTCACACCACTACAATTTATTTATTCAAGTTTATTTTGGGAAAAAAGACTAACCTAAATGTAAATAATAAAAGGTGGGAGGTTGTTGATAAGCTGCATTAATTCAGTTTCTTCTGACTTGAAATTTATGATAATTAAAGAATTGGCTGAAATTTTATTTACTCTAGTAAAGGAAAGTTTATGAAGCATAGTATAGCAGAAATGAGGCATGGGGGAAGTATTTAAATTACTCAAAAATATTTATTTTATTTAAAAAAGGTTAAAGGAATACTTTAGCAGTGGTAGTATCCAGAAGTATCTAAAATTTCTGTGATTATGAGTGATTATTAAGTGATTAGTTTCTACTATGCAACAATTTTTGTTTTGCTTTAAAATTTCTGGAATACATAATGCTTATGAATTTGGTCCTTTTTCTAATGTAATTGTTCCACATTTGTGAGGTTTTGTTTTATTTCTGGAATTAAAGAATACTGGAATAGGGGCACATAAATGGTCAGTTGATTAAGTGTCTGACTCTTGGTTTTGGCTCAGGTCATCATCTCACAGTTTGTTGGTTCAAGCCCCACGTGAGGCTCTGCACTATCAGTGCAGAACCTGCTTGGGATTCTCTATCTCTCTCTCTCTCTTTCTTTCCGCCCCTCCCCCATTCATGCTGTCTCTGTTTCTCTCGAAAACAAACTAAAAAAAAAAAAAGAGTAATGGAATAAAGAAAGTGGAATATTTTCGAGAAAAATTTAAATCTCAGATCAGCATCACTAAGCTGAATCAGGCTATACATAAAGAATGCAGCTTCTTCTAGATGGTCCGTCATAGGAAAGATGCCAGGGAAGAGTGTTTTTTTCATTTTTTGCCCCTACTATCAGCTCATCACCTTGTTACCCCTTCCACTACTACAGGTCCAGCTAAAGACAATTGAAATGATCTTTGCTTCTGTTCTCCAAGGATTTTTTGCTTCAACTCTAACTTGAATAGGACCAGTAGGAGATATAGTGGTTAGAAGAAGAAAACCAAGATAAGAAGGCACAATTGATAATAATCAAATGGAAGCGGTAATCAAAGATGACTTAACAATTAATAAATGTTTATTTTGGAAAAACAATTATTTTTAAATAACTAAGGCAAACCTAGCTTAGCCTACTGATGAAAGCCAGTGGTTTTACTGCCAAAGTTTTGTAGCACAGGAGAGTGGATTGTGATGCATTAATACAGTGTAATACTATAATACTGCACAGAAGTAAGAAAGCAAACTACTAATATACATAGCAACATGGATAAGTTCTTAAAAACATTAAGTTGATTGAAAGAAAGTAGGCTTGGGGCACCTGGGTGGCTCGGTCGGTTAAACGTCCGACTTCGGCTCAGGTCATGATCTCATGGCTTGTGAGTTCGAGCCCCCGTGTCAGGCTCTGTGCTGACAGCTCGGAACTTGGAGTCTGCTTAGGATTCCATGTCTCCCTCTCTCTCTGCCCCTAACCCACTCGCATTCTGTCTCTGTCTCTCTCAAAAATAAATAAACATTAAAAAAAAGAAAGTAGTCTCAAAATCTGTTGTATAATTCTATTTATATGAAGTTTAATAAAAGGCAGAACTATAGTTTTAGCATAAAGGTTACTTTGGGAGGGGTATATTCTTGGAAGGGGGACATAGGAATGTATGTGATGTTGGAAATAGTCTATCTAGACTTTGGTGATGGTTATGTGGGGTGTATACCTATGTAGAAAAATCATCAAATTATACACTTAAGATTAATGTATTTGTGTACATATGCCAACCCTCACTAAAAAAATGAAGTTGATTACTATTATTTAGCATATGCCACGTTAAAAAAGTAACACAACTTAATTTGTTAAAGTATATCCAAATTATAAGACCATCTTAAGGTTAAGATATAACAATAGACATGCTAATTTATTTTTAAAGTTTTGCATCTTGTATTTTACTGAATGAATGTATTATCCAGTTCCCTCTAATTTAGTAGCTGTTTAACAAGATTTATGTTTTGGATGCATTTCTTTCTACTAAAATTAAAGAAATATTTATTCTAAAAATCTCAATTTAGACAAAATGAGTCTCATTTTAAGGAACAGTGCCCCATTTTATAATAATTTTATTTTCCAGGTGGTTTGGGAACTTTCCATGCCTTTCTAAATACAGCTGTACATGTAGTTATGTATTCATACTATGGGCTATCTGCATTGGGACCAGCCTTCCAGAAGTATTTGTGGTGGAAAAAATATTTGACATCATTACAGCTTGTGAGTAATTAATTTTCTTTAAAATCAGATACAAAACTAAATTGCAGTCATTCCTCTTCCCTATGAACCAGGATAGTAACTAAATAAAGAACAAAAGTTACAAAACAATAGGGATATAGTGTGTCTGGCTCCTATATTGCATCCCGTCCTTATCCTTTTCCTGTAGTTTAAACTTTCGTCAAGAACTGTGTTGCAGATGAAGTGTATTTGGTAGCCGAGAAGCTCAGTTGAACCATAATGTGTATCTTTATGCCATCTTTATACTATTTCTGCTTTTATATTAAATAAATATAGTTATAATCAAGATAATCTCAAAGTTATTTGAACCACAGTAGGCATAATATTAAATTAGAAGTTAGAAATTCCATATTCTAGATCTAAATGACTTTGAGGGAGGGATTGTAACTTTGAGAGCATTAAAGATGTAGAGTGATGGTATAATAAATATACTGACAAAGTTGATGACACTCTAAATAACCAAGTATAAGGAAATAGTGAAATAAATTATTTTAACTCTTACTTTGGGATATTATGAAATCAAGAAAATTATTCACAATTGTTTTCTTTTTAAGAATTTTTTTCTGACTGTAAAGTAATATATGCTCATTGCAGAGAAATTAAAACATCTAAATAGCTTGTCTTTTCTATACTTATATATGTACACTTGTGTGATTTGCATTATACTGCATATACAACTTTATATTGGGCTTTTTGCACTTAACATTACTCTTAAATGTTGTAAAAAATGTTTAACAATGGGGCAAACTATTCATATAGAAAAAAGAACAGACATTTGTTTATTACTATTTCAAACATGTTGGTTATACACAAACACACCTACATCGAATGTTGAGGGTGTCACTTAAGCTTCCTAAGGTTTCATCTTCTTGTCTGAAAAATGAGAGGGATAGCTACTGCACAGGAATGTCATAAAAGTTCATTCAGATAAGGCAAGGAAAGTTGATGATGATAATAAAAGAAACTGTGAAAATCTTAACGATGGTTACAACTGGATAGTTTATAGGTAATTGTTATTTATTTGTATGGATAAATGTTTACTTTTCTAAAATTCCCTCAGAACTCATGTTGCCTTTTAATCAGGAGAAGAAAGCTATCCAAAAAATCTGAACATTAGCCTGGAAGTGTTCCTCTTTAGACTGTGTATAATGTTCTGGGACAAAGAGCCCTTGGGCGTCACTAGAACGGTGATCAGTAATGTTTCACTCCTTACAGATTTTCTCCTGCCATTGGCAGGATATATTTTTATCTATGACTGTGGATGACAGGTGGCAGATATAAGGACTCAGAGATGCTTTGGCTCCTACAAAATTGCTGGGGCTGTAATTAGAATGTTTGTAGTTCCCCAAAATTGAAATACCTTGTCTAACAGCAAGACAGAATATTTGAATTGAAATTATTTTAGAAATAGTAAGACCATAAGATAGTGGTTCCTTGTGCATTTCCTCAGTCGAGGACTCAAGTCAGAGACGTGCCAAGAAAACCTGCTCTGATGGTCCTTCCTCTGGGTACAAAAGGCCTCTTGCACCTCACAGCTCCAGGGCATTTACATGGGGCCCCGCTCGAGTTATAGAGTTTGGCAGGACTGCATGGTGGTTCCCAATTCCAGTCTGGATTCTGACACTGTCCTACCCACTCTCACATCCATGGAGGGCAGATAGATTTAAAGATAAAATTCCCTACCCAGCAGTACGCTAGATGTGATTGGAGAGTGTTTAAACATAAGCAGCCAAAGAATGCATTAGATAATTGCTCCATTGTGACTTCATATCTGAATAATATTTTTCATTCTTTCATCTCTTAGGCCCAGTTCATTATTGTCACTATCCACATAGGCCAGTTCTTTTTCATGGAGGATTGCAAGTACCAGTTTCCAGTCTTTCTGTACATCATTATGAGTTATGGGTGCATCTTTCTGCTGCTCTTTCTCCATTTTTGGTACCGTGCTTACACCAAAGGTCAGAGGCTGCCCAAAACTGTGAAAAATGGAGTCTGCAAAAACAAAGACCACTGAAATGCAAACACAACACGAATCTATGAATGAGACTGGTATCTTACTTCCCTTGACAATCAAGAGCTATTTCCATGTGAAGTGCATTTTGTATATTTTTCAAAACCAAGAGCTTGTATTTTTATGATAAGTTATTGGGGTTTCTGATATTTGAGAGCCCAAAGCTCCCAGATAACAGACCTCTGATAATTAGAGCCTAAAGCAGGCGGTTTTTCAGCAGCTTTTAAATCTAATCTAAAGGTTTTATTTAATACATTTTGTTATAGTGAAAGGAGGATATGAAACAGTATAGTACTTTTCAAAGAAGTCCGGTATAGATGAGAAATATCGTTAGATATTTTGAGCATGGACAGAGATCTATGCCATACAATAGATTCCTTCTGCCAGGTCTGAAAACCTCTAACTGTGGGCGCTGGCTTTGTTGCTTGTTGATTATATTCAGAAGAGTATATATACCCTGGAGTTAAACTCCCATTCTAAAGAGCTAACACTGGTGAACATGAAGTGAATTTTTGATAAGTCGTTATTTCATACCACTAACAATTTTTAATGGATCTCTTTTGAAGCTGCCACCAGTTTTGCTGATAGGACTTCCCACAGCACTTTTGTTGTATCAACTGTTCAAAAGCAACAGTAATTTTGGTTAGTACATTGATGCACTTGACACTAAGTTTACGTTAATATTTTGAAAACAAGGTGATTTGTTCTGTGGCTTGATGAACACTGTGCTATTACTGTTTTGCAGTTAACTTTATATATTTCTGGAAAGAGGTGAAATACTTCTGGAAAAGTATTCTGTAGTTCAATGGGAAAAATTGGTTTTCTGTTGTATTGTAATGTCACTTTCTCATGTTGTCCTGGTTTAAAGGATCATCTTGGTTAAATGTGTATTGGTTAGATGTGTGAATGTTCACATCATTGGCACACTGCAGGTACCCTTAATCATAAGTGATTTTAGACCACCTGTTATTCCCAGTTTCCAGAGATGGGTTGCAGTCATGAGTAAAGAAGCCCGAGGCAAATGGTGGCACAGAAGTTCTCCCGGGAATTTTTGGTTCTGGAGGCTTTCTTAATAAAGAGAGAAAGAGAACTTGTTTAATAGTTGTTATAGATACAGTGCATGGGAAAATGTTTCCCAGAAGTATGAATTCTTCAATAGCCTGGGTTTCTTTTTTTTCAAACCTATAAACTCTATAATGAAGACCTGAAATTCATTTTGCCTACTTTTGTTTCTTCACGGATATTACTTCCTAAAATTCTCTTGTTCTTACTTTTTCTTGGTGGCAAACCCAAACTACTGGTCGATAGAGTTTTGCCCCAGAAACAATGATATTTGCACATTTCTGAATTTCTCCCCATTTTTTTCTTTTTTGTTATATTTATAGTTGAATTTGAAGGACTGCCTATGCCTGTATGACTTTAAACAATTAGTACTTATGGGATGGGCCTCAGTTGTGTAACACAGTGCTAGCATTGTACAGCAAACCTGAGTTTTTCCTCACTGTAAGCTCCTGTAGTTCAGTTTGTCCCCCCAGGCCACTAATCTATACCATGGCCTCTTCTCTTAAACTTGCCAGGTTTACACTTGCCTTTAAATGACCTTTACTGATTTCACTTGTTTATAATTTGAGAAGATGAGAGCTGATAAATGGGGGAAATAACTTATTTTTCTTAAATAAAGAACAGAGGACAGAAAGCAGAGCTAAAGGAGCAGCTATAATTTATTTCTCTGAGGGCCTCAGGATTCCTTCAGTGTTTTCCTGTTTGGACTCTTCATATCCAACCTGTGCTAACAAGAGACCATGTAGTAGGTACTGTTACACATGCACACAATTCCCAAGGACCCAAGTAGGGAAAAGACCAAAAGGAAGCACAAATACAAGACGAAACAGGAGAGTTTGGTTTTCATAATACTTTCCATCCTGCATTGTACAACCTCTCCTAACCTGCCTATAGTCTTTAAAATGTTTGACTTGCCAGAGACCTAACAGCAACATGTGATGGAACTGGGTTCTAAATTATGAGAATAGAAGTGGAGAGCTGGGATGTTACGTGAAGAGAAATCACAGCTAGCAGAAGTATCCTCCATGGAAACATCAGTAGGTCAAAATGAGTATCACTGGATATAGGATTTGCATGGACAATGTTTTATTAAAGCGCTCTGTAGGTCACATAGAGTTTCTTTTGGGGTTTCACCCACTTTTCAAGACTTCATTGCCTTTGGGTTTACTTACCTAACAAATAAAGAGGCCAGTTACAAAATCTGGCTTATGACATGAAGCTCTATGAATCCTTGAAAACCTATGTCTGTATTATAAATCAATACAAATACATAATTTTAAATATCTATTTACAGCCTAAATGGAGTTGAATTCTTAATTAAGTGGACTACATTGTACTTAAATTATAAAACTATGAGTTTAAATTTTCTCAGTTATCTCTCATTTCTGTTAAATTGTTAAAGACTATGGAAAATTCTGTGGATCTTGTCAAAGTTTGTGCATGTGTGTGTGTCTTTTATTTTGGAATTTAAACGCATATGTTTGCATGGGAAGATGGTTTTATTCCTGAATATTCATTTAAGAAAGCATTTTACACATTGGTTGCCCACTTGCTGTATTCAGAGCCTCTGCTAGATATGAGAGTGATACAAAGATGCCTCTGACATAGTTGGAGCCTCCTGAAACTTATAGACTGATGGAGGAAATTATGTAACCAGGCAGCTAGGTGCCATGTGAATGAAAGTTGCTCACTTAGAAAGCAGGGGAGGCTACATGAAGGAATTAGAACTTGGGTTGTGTGTTTAAGGTGTACAGATTGCAAAATGGGTGGTGGGTTAGTGGGCAAGGTATTATAAGTAAAAAGAAGTAACAAGTCAACCTGACACAAACAAAGAAAAACAGCAAGAACAAAGCATGGCCCCGGGTAAGGAAAGTGTAGGGAATGGCTAAAAAACCAAAGCAGAGGAGGATTTTTTGCAGGTGAAACAGAGAGATGAGTCCAGGAAGGGAAACGAGGTCAGAGCTTGGGGCCCACGTGGCTGTGACATCTGGGCTTGATTCTCCAGGAAAATGAGAGCATTCAGCGTTTTTTGAGGGAGGTGAGGTTTAATCAGAGTGGTACCTTAAGAGTCATCTGGTGGGGCGGGGTGGAGTGGCAGCTTTAGATGCTAAGGAGAGAGATAAATTGGTTGATTAAGGGTGAGGGGAGGATAGCCAGCATGTGTGACCAGAAAGAAAGGCAGATGTGAGAGAGCTTCTGAAGGGAGAGTTTCATCTAGGCTGACCATGGATGGGATGGGTAGCAGGGTCCAAGGAAGCTGTGTGGTGGTGTGGAAAGCGGTCTGAAACTGAAGCCATAGGGCATGGATGTTAGGTGCCAAGTGACCTTGGAGAAGCCAGTTAACCTCTCTCAGCTTCTGTTTCTTCATCTGTAAAACGATAGTACAAGTTCTCCTTGCTGGATTATTGTGTGGCTTAAATGAAACAATGTATTTTAAAGCCCTTTGTAGTAATTGATAAAAATAAGACCATAAGCACAGAGAACACTAACTCAGCAGGCTTAAATGGGGAGGAAAGCAAAGTGAGTCCCTAGCTCAAAAGAGCACAGAGGTTACATTTCTCTCTACTTCAGGTGGAGTAAGGTATGTGATGATTGGGGAGGGGATGAGATAAAGGGATTGAGGTAAAATTCTTTTTTTTTTTAATTTTCAAAAAATGTTTATTTTTAAGAGAGAGAGCAAGCTGGGCAGGGGAAGAGAGAGAGGGGGACAGAGGATCTGAAGCAAGCCTGACAATGGGCTCAAACTCATGAACCATGAGATCATGACCTCAGCTGAACTCAGATGCTCAGCTGACTTCACCCAGGAGCCCCTTTTTTTTCTTTTAAGGAAGCAGAATAATCATGTTTCTTTATTCTAGGGATGGCGTGAAGAGTGAAAATGCATAAGCTGTGGGGAATGGATGTGCTTAGGGATAGATACAGATTTCAAATACTTCCCAGCCTCCAGGAGAGCCCTGCTGGAGACCATACACTTGTAGTGGTCCCAATTTGCATAATTGTGTTAGCCCATAATCATGTAGGCATGGAGAAGACTTGGATTGACCAAGATAGGGATTGCAAGAAAGATGCAGCAGGACAAGGGAGGAGGTTGGGAACGCCAGCAAGAATGGATACAGTGATGTATTATGAGAGCAGAGTGAGGCTGTCAAGGGACAGTGGTGCTTACCAAACTCCTTATATGTATCATGCAATAAGAACCTCACAATATCCCTATAAGTTAGATACAATGAGGTAGCTACACATACGGAAATTGATGCTTATACCATTTACATAAATTGCCCAAGATCAGGAAATTATTGGGTGGTAGAGCTGGGTGTCAAACCAACTCTTTGACTTCAAAACTCTTAACCATCGTGCTGTATGGCCAAGAAAGGCTGATGTAATAAGGGAGTGAACGGATTTGTAAGTTTAACTAGGAATGATGAAAACCTAAAAATAACAGTTCCTTAAACAAGAGAGATGTGCTTTCTCATATAAGGTTCCAGAGATAGGCAGTTAAAGTTGGATTAGTTGTATTATAATATCTGAGACCCAGGAGATTTTTGTCTTGCAGTTCTGCCATATGGGCTTCCTTTCCCATAGTCCCCTCATCCAAAATGGATGTTGGAACCATCCATTAATATACATATAACCAGCCATTAATATACATTTCAGCCAGCATGAAGGAGGAAGAAGATAAGAGAAGGAATGTTCTCTCTATCTAAGACCTATAACGAAAGTGATACATCACTGGCCAGAATTGCCACATGGGTCACATGTAACAGAAGGAAATCTGGGAAATATACTCTTTATCTTAGGCGACTCTATCTAAAGTCAGAGATTCTATGTCTCTGGAAGAAGGAGGTGAATGGGCATAGTGGGGGCTGTAGTCTGTGGTCAGCATTTCAAACTGTGGAGTAGTACTGTATAGCTCTGAAAGTGAGTGGCTGATACAGAATGGG